TGCGATGTAATATGGCTTCCTAATCGAGAGGAGGCATATGAGATGAATAGCTGAGGATCTTTCCGAGTTGTTTGTGTCCTTTGTAGGTAAAACAAGAGAGCCCTCTTGACATCCAATGTGTGCATCAATCGGTCCTCATCCGACATAGGGTTAGGGTAAAAATCAGGTAGGACGACCTCAGCCTGTAAATGAAATTCTGAGACAACTTTTGGTAGGAATGATATGTCCGGCAGTAAACGGATCCCATCAGGGAGTACAGAGAAGTAAGGTGGGTCATGGCGGAAGGCTAACAGTTCTCCCACCCATCTGGCTGAAGTGATCGCAGTCAAAAAGGCCGCCTTCCAAGCCAGAAGCCTCAACTCGCATGTAGCGAGAGGTTCGAATGGCTTCCGCGTCAGTTGGCGCAAGACCAGAGGTAAGTTCCAAGGGGAAACTGGGGATTTGATTGGAGGGTAGAGACGTAACAAACCCTTCAGAAAACGTTTGGTGACCGGATGTGTGAACAGAGAACAGCCGTCAACCTAAACATGAAATGCTGATAAAGCAGCCAAATAAACTCGTAACGAGGAATGGGAGAGACCCAAGTCAGCAAGGGATAAAATAAATGAAAAAAACTTTTCTAGCCCAGCTGATGTGGCAAGAGATGTGTCAGCCCCGATAAAGGCACAAAACTTCCTCCACTTGCAGTCGTAAGACCTGCGAGTAGACGGTTTTCTTGAATTTAGCAAAACATGTGCTATACGATCGGAGAATTCTGTCATTCTATTCGCCATGCCGTCAGCTTTAGCGTTTTCACATTGTGGTGAAGTACCGGGGAGTCGGTGAGGCATAGGAGGTCCAAGGCCGTAGGGAAGTGATAATAGGTTCCCTGAGACAGTTCCAGGAGCGTTGAGAACCAGGGCTGCCTGGGCCACCACGGTGTCACGAGCAACACTTCTACATTCTCCTTAAGAATCTTGCGGACAACCCTGGGAAGTAGAGGCAGTGGGGGAAACATATAGATGTTTCGTGGACCACGGGAAGAGGAGGCCGTCTCCTAAAGACTGGGTGTCGTAACCTCCCTGACTGCAGAATAGGTGACATTTTCTGTTGTCTCTCGTGGCGAAGACGTCTACTTGGGGAGTCCCCCACCTCTGGAAGATTGGGAGGAGATAAGAATGTTTTATCCCCCATTCATGAAGGCTGAGACCAGATCGACTTAGGTGGTCCGCCTCCAGATTTAGTCTTCCCAGTATGTGAGTTGCCACTATGAAAATGTTGTTGGCCACGCAGAAGTCCCACAGATCTATTGCGAGATTGCAGAGTCGGGTGGAGACAGTGCCGCCCTGCCAGTTTATATATGACAGCGCTGTCGTGTTGTCCATGAGGATGTTCACACATTTCCCTTCGATCAAAGGGAGAAAACTGGCTACTGCATGCCGGACGGCCAGAAGCTCTAGGAAATTGATATGATGTCTCCCTGCTTCTACATCCCATGTATCTCCCACAGAGTGACCCATGGAGTGGGCGCCCCAGCCCCTCATAGATGCGTCGGTGGTTATGACGATTTCTGGTGACGGAGGGTGAAAAGGTGCCCCTTGTAAAAGGTTGGATGGAAGCGTCCACCATCACACCGAATCCCGGACTTGAGAAGGAGGCGAGAGCGTGACTATGTGGGCGTTCATAGAAGAACTGTAATTGCGGAGAAACCAGAGTTGCAGCCGTCGCATTTTGAGCCTCGTGAAGACCAATACTGCAGTCGTCGCGGCCATAAGACCTAGCAACCTTTGAATCTTGTAGGCTGTGGTGGTAGGGTCCGCACAAAGTTGAGTGGCCAGAGCAATTATGTCTGCGGCCCTGTCTGTTGGTAAAAAAGCCATGCATGCGTTCGAGTCCAACACGGCCCCTATGAATTGGGTTCGCTGAAGTGGACAAAGGTGCGACTTTTGGTAATTGACCTGCAGGTCTAGGTTGGTCAGCAGGGACAACATCTCCCGGACATTGGAATTCAGGACTGTCTCCGAAGAAGCGACTATAAGCCAGTCGTCGATGTAAGGGTATAGCGAAATCCCTCAGAGTCTTAGAAATGCCGCCACAACTATCATAGTTTTTGTGAACACTCGTGGAGCACTTGACAGACCGAATGGAAGAGCCGTATACTGGAAATGATTTGGGCCAATCGCAAACCGTAGGTATTGGCGGTAGAAGGGGTGGTTAGTGATGTGAAAGTATGCATCCTGGAGGTCCAGGGTAGCCATCCAAACCCCTTTGCTGGAGGGAAACCATGCGGAAGCGATGGTAAGCTACGAAATGGTTGAGTCCCCGTAGGTCTAGGATGGGTCGTAGGCCACCGTCCCGTTTTGGCACTGTAAAATACCGGGAGTAGAACCCTTTCCCTTGGAGGTGCGATGGTACACACTTGATGGCTCCCTTTTGCAGAAGGAGGGATACCTCCCGGAGGAGGGGTGGGGAGGGTGGCGTGACGACAACGACTGATATGTTGGGGTTCTGTTGGAATTGGATTCTGTAACCTCTGGTCAGGATGGAGAGGACCCATTCGTCCGATGTTATTGAACGCCATGTGGGAAGAAAGGGGTAAAGGCGAGTGGGTGTAAACTCGGGTGCTGACTCGGGGATAGGGAAGTCAAAAGCCCTGTTTGGAGGCTTGTTTGGTTTGTTTGCCACGAGAAGCCTGCTGCGTGGTGCCGAATTTAGGCTTCTGGTAGCCCGATTTCTGGGATCCAGAGTACGATCTTGGTCTCCACCTGGATTCAGGAGACTGGTGTGACGGTGTGCGTCGTTGCCACGGTTTAGGCCAATTGCGAGATCGCTGGGGCTGTCTGGTAGAATATGACACTCCCAGTGCTCTGGAGGCTTTGATGCTCTTATCGAGTTCTTGTAGGGAGGAGTCCGTGTTGGCATTAAACACACCCAACCCATCAAAGGGCATATCTTCGACATGAGACCTGGTGTCAGGAGGAAGACCTGTATTACGCAGCCATGCATGCCTCCTGAGCGCCACTGCCGATGCCATGGTCCGAGAGGATGCTTCCAGGACATGCTTAGTAGTTGTTAGTTGCTGCTTAGCGACTAGCATGCCTTCTTTCTGAATCGCCTTGGCCTGATGCTGCTTGTCCTCCGGAAGGTTGGCGAATAAATCTGTGAACTTTTCCCAGAGGGAATATTGATAGCGGCTCATGCAAGCCAAGTAGGTTGATTGTTTAACAGCTAATGCGCCTGAAGAGTAAAAGCGACGTCCAAACGCATCCAACTTTCTTCCTTTTTTGTCGGAGGGCGTAGCGTGAGTTCTCCGGGATTTAGAAGACGATTGGACGACCATAGAGTTTGGGTTTGGATGTGTCAATAAGAAGTCTGCCTCAGGATCTTGAATTTTATACATATGATCCAATTTGCGGGTAGACACAGGAGCAGACGACGGATTTTTCCAAGGAGACTTGGCTGCTTGAAGCAGAACAGATGACATGGGCAGTGCCACCACAGGGAATGTATCCAACTGGACCACGTCAAAGAGAGCATCGTTGGATTGAGGAGGTTTTTGAACGACTGAGAGGTTCAAGGCAATGGTCATCCTTTTAATCAAATCAGAGTAGGTGTGTAGATTATCAGACGGAGATATCGGTAAGTCTGAAGACACGTCTGGTGTTGGAGATGTGTGGTCCGGAGAAGTAGGTAGTAAGGACGCATCTGTGTCCGATTCATTCTCAGGAGCATCTGATGAATCTTGCTCTGAGTCAGTTTGAGGTGTGATTGGGATGATTGGCACCGCAGGCACCTTTGGTTTTGGTGTAGGTATAGTGGGTTGATTCTCCAAGGTTAATGGAGGAGGTAACGGATCCACTCGAGACACATCAGCAACAGGAGGGCGTGAAATTGTTGCAGATGGTCTTGACTTAGTAGGCGACCAAGACCTATGTTCAGACCGGATGGAATATCGGTCCCAGTCTGAATAGGTAGCAGGAGTGAGCCATGGCATTGGTGGATGGTATGGCCCATATAAATATCTCATCTGCTTTTCATCCCATGTGAGAGGTCTTCGGTATCTAGGGGAATGACTCCTAGTCCTCGGCAAAGCGTGCCCTTGGGATACATGTCGGTATCCAGAAGTTTCGATGTCGATCGGCTGGACATATGGAGAGGGATGGTAACGCTCCATGTGTGACCTTGGTCGATGCCGATGACCGCCGATGTCGGGCGTCACTGAACGCATCGATGCCGATGAAGTAGAGTGAGCAGGGGAAAACTCTGCACATATCGGGTGACTAATGAGTTCCGCCGTGTCGATATCGATGACTTCCGGTATCTGTTGGCGTATAGGAGAGGCCAAGAGATCAACATGTGATATTGGCGGAGGTTGAGGCTCCGGTATCGATACCACAGTTACCACTGGTTCCACATTCGGCATCGGAGGCTGCAGAGAAAGTCCTTCAGATGGAACTGCCTTACCCGTCTTCGTGGATTTATCTTTCTTGGAGGCAAGAGATTTCGCGGGCTTCTGCTTAGTGCTTGCCTGCGTCTTGGTCTTAGAAGGTGCTTTCGATGTCGATTTCGTCGACGTCGATTGGTCGGTACCGATGGTCGTCCGCAATGTGGTTGGCGGTTCTTCCATCGTGGAAGGCGGGTTAAGAGCAGATTCCAGTAAAGCGACCCTTAGGCGAGCCGCCCGATTTTTTCTTGTCTGGTTAGAGAACTTGGCGCAATGTTTACAAGTCTCTGGTTTGTGAGACTGCCCCAGGCAGAACAAACACAGCTTATGGCCGTCAGGGGGAGCCAATTTACTTCCACACCGTGTACAACGGTTGAAAATACCCCACTTCTTCTCCATACGGCAAGGAGTGGGCAGGGAAAAATTTTTAGCCAGCACGGCTGAAGAGAGAGGGGGTGGGGGGCGAAGGCCTGAGGTAAAAAATTCCCCTCAGAGTTGATGAAAATAAAGGGTTTTTTTGTTTTTTTTAGGAGAGAAGCGAAAAGAAACAAAAAGAAGCAAACGAGCAGAGGAGATGAGCTGGAAGGCCCTAGGGCAGCTACAGCGATCCGGCACAGACGAAAGCAAAGTAAGTCCTTTCAACACGGCGGTAGAAAGAGAACTGGTGGGATGTCCGCGCCCGTCCCTCTGGGCATGCGCAGTGGGGTTCCTGCGCATGCTCGGAGGGGCTGGGCACGAAAATCCGTTGAAAAGAGCTTGCTACAGCACCGGTTGGTTCAGCGCGTGCGCACTAAACCCATTGGTGTGAAGCACAGAGACCACGAAGACAATCCAAAGTTCTTTAAAAAATTTCACAGGCTGAAAGGGAAGGGAAACATATCTCAGAGCCCTGCTAATGTTGTGGCAGTCAAGGAGATCTCACTCTGATGCAGAATCTTGTAGGTTTCCTCTCAGTCTAACCAACCTCCCAGGGTTTTCTTGAGAATACCAAAGTGGAGCCAGGTTGTGTGGGTGCCCATATACTATACTGATGCTATACTGTACTGAGGTTCAGGACAAGTGATGTGCTTTGCAACCTGGCAATGCAGACCTCCTGAAAGATGAATGCAGATCTGGGAAGTTGGTGCCTGTGGGTGTCTGTTTTCTCCATGCCAGTTGCAGCCAGTGTTCCCTCTAAGCTGAATTACTGTAAGCAGGATTGCAGTTCTATAGCCTCCAGCTCACAGACTCCTCCAGTGAGAGGGAGCAATGGTTACAGGTAAAGTTGGATTGGAATCCCTATCATGAGGTCAAGGTAGCATGGTCTGGTGAGGTTTTCACTGCCTCACATGACTGAACTGTGGAGTTTGTTGGGTGTCCTGCTGTAGATTGGGAAAGCACTATCGGAATAGCCTTGCACCCTAGGAGAGGTGGTAAGTGGGTCCTCAGTAGATTTTACAGTGTGTAAAAGGGGGACCTGGCCGAGAGAACACAGGAAAACATATATTAATCATATTTCCCGTGTCATTTTCAACAGGACTATGTGTGAGTGTGGCTGTACAGACCACAGGATCCCCTCTGGAGAGCGATCAAGGTATATTTAAATGTATTATTGGGAAGTCATCTGTCCATGCACAAGGATCAGTGCCTGGAATGGTAACCGTATTGGGATGTAAACCTGAGCACCTGACTGAGGTTAAGCATCCCTGGGCATGGGAAGTGTAAACGTTTGCCTGCCTGAAACTGAAGCTCAAATACTTTGGCCACCAAATGAGAAGGGAGCACTCACTGGAGAAGACCCTGATGCTGGGAAAGATTGAAGGTCAAAGAAGACGGGGACGGCAACGGATGAGATGGTTAGACAGTGTCATCGATGCAACGAACATGAAATTGAGCTAACTTCAGAGGACGGCGGAAGACAGGAGGGCCTGGTGTGATCTGGCCCATGGGGTCGCGAAGAGTCGGACTCGACTGTGCGACTGAACAACAAAAAATTAACCTTTAATTTTCAACCACTCATTTTAGGGTCAGTGGACACAGAGACGACCTCCACCCAGTCAGGGGGGCAGGAACTGGCACCAGAAGCCACCTCTGAGTCCCCAAGTGGTAAGAGCAATGGCCATTACTTGACTTGCCGAGGAATAACATTGCACATCCTAACAGCTAACAATTCTCTTGCAGGAGTAGGTGAACCAAGCTACAGGGGCCGGGCTGCTGCAGGGGAACCTCCCCCCCCAACTCAAGACCAGCGGCTGGACCTCATCCAGGCCACTCTTGAGCAGCTGCAGGCCAGCGTGGAGCTGCTCAGGGCAAGTGTTGAAATGACTCGCCAGAACCGTGAGTATCCTTTCCTGCCTGGTCCTGTGATCAACATTAGGAATATGAGAGACAGCCAGGGCACACGAGCAGTTATCAGAACAGGTTTGATTGAACAGCAGCCACTGGTGTGGTGTACCTAAAAAACCCACAACAACAAAAACAACAACCACAACAGTGCCAGTGTCTAGACTAGTGCTCTGGGAAGTTTCCTCAGGTGAGGAGCGGGATCCATCCTGGCCATTGTGCAATCAGGGTATGTCATGGCTCAGGGAATCTGGCCACTGAGTCCCTTGGCCAGGGAGAACCCACTTTAAAGTGGCTTTCAGTTGTCCCTTTGAGCATCCTATCATGTTCACAGTCATAGTGGCTACAGGGGCATGTGGTTTTTGGATAACGTTTGTGCATAATGGTGTTAATGCTGAGCACCTACTTGTTATTTCAGAGGACACACAGACACGCCGCATCGAGGTCATGGAGCGAGCAATGCTGAGACTCCGCAGAGTGTTTCAGGGCATCCCGCTCACCGCAGCAGTGGCAGCCCAGGCGGAGGAGCGTGAGGAGGAAGCTGGGGCAGAGGGGGAGTAGTCTGTTTGTTTGTGTTGTTGTTGTTATCCTGTTGTGTTTGAAGGTTTGTAATTATTTCATTGGTTTAATTGTTTAATGTTTTCCAAAGTAATGTAAAAAGTTTTATTTTTTCAAAAAGGACATGCCTGGATTGTGTTTGGCCCTGCATCCCCTACTAAAACCAGGGGAGGGTCTTTTGAGGGAGCCGCACTTGAGGGAGCTACTTAAGTCAGTCATAGGAGCACAACATGGGTCCTCTCTCAGGTATCTGCAAAGCAGCCATGGAGGTCATTCCTTCCTGCTGGACACAGGTGGGGCTAAAACAGGCAGCTTACCAGACAACAGCTCTGAGGGCAGAGGCACGCCTGACAAAGCAAGCAGACAAAAACATGTAGAACAATTAACACTGAAAAAAAGAAAAAAGAGAAACCACACAACTGGAAGGTTCTAATACTGGTTTTACAGGTTAAATCATTTAGATATTTAGGGGTTTTGTTTCACTACAACTTAAGTTGGTGCCCTCAGAGATCATTCCCTCAGCCTAGCTAGGAATAAGATTTCAGCTTTATAAGATAGGAATAAGATTGCAGCTTTATATGACTACTCCTTTATACTTAGCCAGTATATCCAACCCAAACCATAGATGGGCTTTCTCCAGAGCCAGATTTGATGCTTTTCCATCTGCAGTTCTTTCTGGAAGATTCCAAAGTATACCAAGGCATTTGAGACTTTGCTCATGCCCCTCTGAGTCAATTGAGACCCTCCCCCATATTTTATTTCATTGCTCCTATTATGCAGAAGAAAGAGCCCTCTTAATTACACCTATATTAAGGTCATTTAGGGTCCAAGGACAACTACCAATCCATTCTGAGGAACTTGTGTTGAAATATCTATTGGAAGATAAATCCACAGCAATATCAAGGAACGTTGCTAAATTTCTTTTTATTGCATTTGTAAAGCGCAAGCACCGCCTTAATACTCCTTATGATGTCTTTTCTCTAATGTTTTGGCAACTTGGGATTGCTTTTTTGATCCTGTATGCTGTTTGATGGGTCTTTGACCGTAATAAACAATGTATGTATGTATGTATGTAGCTTTATCTCGTTTCTTTTATTTAAAAGCTAATCAATTTGTCCCGGCAGCTCTCCAGATTTTTCAGGCGTCTGTGATCTCTCGTTTGCTGTATGGGGTACCTATATGGATCCAAAATTTTAATTAAAAAGTAGAACTTATAAGTGCTACCTTCTTCCGTAGGATTTTAGGTTTTCCTAACTCTGTTTCTTATTTTTCTCTTTGTGCGGAGTTAGGTGCCCACCTTATTGAATCTCGGGCATGGATAATCACTATTAAATATTGGTTGCATTTGCACTTTAGTTCTCCCCCTAACAGCCTTATTGCTCAACTTCTTGCAGACCCATATATTTCTACTTGGTCACAAATTATAGTGGAGAAAATCAAAACCATGGGAATTGATTTGGCCTCCCTGTACAATTGTGGTGAAACAGCTATTTTGCAGGTGGTACGGAGGAGGATTTGGGATATGGAAGCCCAAACAATTAATGCTGGGAGCTATGGAGTCTGTTCTCCACGCTCCCTTGA